AGAGGGAGGACCCCAGGCTAGCTCTACCATATTACTGAACAAGTGAACAGGCTTAGTATCTTCCCTGACATGATAAATAATGCACTCTGGGTCAATTTTGAAATGGAATATTAAGTTCTTCCTGGTAAGCTCACACGAGGTAACATTTAGTGATCCATCAAGAGGGAGAAGGGAGATAAAGAAACCAATGGGGTCTCACCGTAAATATGCAGGCCAAATCCCAGGCACCAGGCTGATTTGGAAGTAGCTGTATAGTTCCTGCCTCCAAGGAGTTTCCATCTCATTAGGAAAGCAAGATGGCAAGACAGGGCAAGTACTAAATGCAGAATATTCATTCACATCTTCTTGGCTCAGATGGGAACTTTACACCTCATACAACCTGCAGATCATGTGACTCCATTTCACAGTCCTTCCTCGTTCATAGGAACCACCCTCTTTGGACCATTTTCTCACATTTTACAAAACTCAGCTCTCAGGCAAAAAAAATGAAACTTACATTGAGTTAAAACTGAATAACTGGGCTTGATTGGTCCAAAGCAGTGTGGGCTAAATAATGCAGGACAAGAGGTTGGGGCTGGAAACAATGATGGTCCAGGGGAATTATGGGAAAACTGGTCAACAATCTCCCATTCATGCTTCTAGGTACTGGTTTCTCTCCTCCAGCCTGCAGCATCTGTGAGAATATGGAAAACACAACCTATTTCATAGTTTCCTAGTGCATAAAGTAGAGATCGTAATACTCATCTCACTGCTTTGTTGAGAAGATTAAATTTGGTAATACATCTAAAAACTTGGCCCCATACTTGGGTCTGAGAAAATGCCCAATAAATAGAGCCTATCATTATTTTGATTTAATTACCAAAAGCAGAAATAAGCTAACATGGAGATGACAAAAGGTTTGGAATCTTTAAAATACTTACACTCAACCATGGTTCCTGGTCTTGTCAATTTGGTTCCTTGAACATTTGCCCTCTGATTTTATTCAGGGTACCAAGTGTGCGTTAAATCTCATGCTTGCTCCCAGCTCCTTCCTAAATGCAGAATATTCATTCACATCTTCTTGGCTCAGATGGGAACTTTACACCTCATACAACCTGCAGATCATGTGACTCCATTTCACGGTCCTTCCTCGTTCATAGGAACCACCCTCTTTGGACCATTTTCTCACATTTTACAAAACTCAGCTCTCAGGCAAAAAAATTGAAACTTACATTGAGTTAAAACTGAATAACTGGGCTTGATTGGTCCAAAGACGTTAGGGAAAGAAAATTTCCTTGTTTCATAATTTTCAAATTCAAGGTCTTCAAAGCAGGGTATTGGAGTGAGAAGTGAGATTCATGGTAATGCTGATGCAAAAGAGACAAAGAACACTCAGAAAGGGAAGAGAAGTAATGCATTTTACAGTTGCCATTTTGTGATGCACCCAGTTCCCCAGCTTCTTGTTAATTCTGTGAGCTCTCTTAAAGTTCTTTTTCTGAGTTATTCTGAATTTTTCTTTTTGCTTATATTAGCAAAAGTCCATTTCTGAGGCTTGCAAGTCAGTAACCCTTACTGATTCATAAATAAAGTGTGGATGGATGGGTGGGAGGAAGGCAGTTATAAGTGAGAAGAAAATAAATAAGGAACAAAGAGCAGCAGAAAAGATGGAGAAAGCAGCTGGATCTTACGACTGCTTCAAATTTTGAAGGATTCCAGTCCTAGTCTGTGCATATCCTTCAAGATGAGTTTCTACCACACCTCTACCACCTTTTTATTAAAATGGTCCCTTTTCTTTGTAATTGAGGTGGCAAGTGCTTTTGTATCGGTACTACTGTAAAAACAGGGGTGGGAGAAAATGAGCAGGCATGTCCCTGAAAAGTTCTACCAAAGCCATGGTCATAACTCTGGGTGGAAATTCGAAGAGGCAAATCTGCCTGGTTCTGATGTTTCTGAATACCCAAGAATTTCAGAATTTATAAATTTTAAGATAAAAATAATTTTTAAATGGAGCCAAGCACAGACTTATGAGAAAGAACTCTATTCATGTTCTTCCCACTAATAATAAAGTGCTTGTCAGAGTGGATTAATCTACACTTAACCTTGTAATTTAACAACGAAGGGCAGAAATAGCAGGTTTACAATGTAAAAGTACATATTAAAACTCCTTTCAACATATTTGTTGTGACATTTTTATTAACAATTTGAGTGAGGAATTAAATTGTAATCAAATGTGGAGATGATATGATGCCAATAGAGGGGTTCATACCGTGAATAATAGAACCATAGAATTACATAACATCAGAACCCAAAGAGGTTTTTTGAAGCTAATCATAACTCTCCAGTTTACAGGACAGAAAACTGAGGCTCAGAGAGGTCAACCCACTTGTCCCAGGTACACCTGGAATCAAGGGTAAAGCAGTTGGGGTTCAATCTTCCTACTTTCTCTTTCTGAATACATAAAATTCATGATTCAAGACTTTGTTTTTTAAGTAGAAACTGAACTGATGAGACCAGATACAATTCATTAAGGTCAAATGTGTAAGGACCTATGTGTTCAGTCCACAAAAGCCCACTGTACAAATACAGTGTGGAGCCTATGTGCTTTAATAAGCAGCACTTGCATGAAGCATTTAGAGAGGTGACTTGTCTGCGAGCTTGAGGTGTCAGCAGTGTGATGCAGCTACAAGTAAAAAGATAACACAGTCACAGGTGGCATCACTAGAAACAGTTTACAGAAGAGAGGTCTGAGTCCTGTGTAACCTTTCCATCTATACCTGCAATACCTTCTTCAGCCCCAGGTGTCAGATTTTAGAAATAATCCAGATGAATTAGTTCAGCTCTAGGATGGAATCACATGAAGAATGGTCAATAGAAGTTAGGGAACTGCAAAGCACTGTAATGAAGAGCTTGAATCTTGTAGTCAGATGGCTGGGGTTTAATCCCAGCTCTGTCAATTACTGAGGATATGTTCATTAAGCCCTAATCGCACTGTCTGTAAATGAGGAATTACAACAGTACCTCTCTCTTTTTGGAGATAAATAAGGTAGCGCATGTCACGTGATTTGCACACTACTAGCACAAAACAAATAGTCTACAAATGTTAGCTGCTATTAAGATTAAGGAGGCAAAGTGATCTGGGGATAACAGGAACAACATAATAGGTTGTGGTGAATATTAAATGAGTTAACACATGCTGAATGCTTGAAACAAACTTGATAGTTATTATCTGCAGTAGAGGGCCTGGTCTGTTTCTGTGAATGGGCCTGGTTTAGGGACAAAATATACCTAACTTGGGCTAAGGTCCACAGAGTCTGATCAGTATTCCTTGAAGGATGCTCAGTTGTGTGTGTGTGTGTGTGTGTGTGTGTGTGCGCGCGCGCGCCTGTGCTGCGGGAGGAGTGGGGAGTGATGGTGGTCACTCAGACCTTCTATGGGGGTACTCACTTGGTGACCACCTGGGCACGGTGACTTGGCATTGTCATGGACTGACAACTTAGCTGCTTTGTGGGTTGCGGTCATTTAGGCCTGTTCTGATGACCATTAACTAGTGTGATCACTTAAGGAGGTACTGGGTTGGTCACTCAAGCTTGCTCTGGTCATGGTCACTGAGAATTGGCCCATGGGCAGTTATTTAATAATCATTAGAAGAGGAAATGCTCAGAAGTCCTCCCTCCCCTCCCTTTCCTCCTCGTGCCACTCCGGGAAGAAGTCCTGGACCTTAGGGATCCTATGCGACCCTGAATAGCTCCCCGGGGAGCAGTCTGCCCGTAGGGGGCGGCCGCTAAGAGGGAACCCGCTTGCCCTGAGTCTGCTCCTTTGGGGCTTGCTCTTCCCCAGGTCCAGCGAGAGGTGGAGTGACAGTGGGGTGGGGGCGCACACGCCATGGGTGTGAGACAGAGTGAGCTGCCTGGGTGTGAATCAGCGCAGGGGTTGGGGGAAGGGGGTGCAGCTAAAGAGCTCCCTGAATAGTCACGGAATCTCACTCACCCTTGGCTCCTCCACACAGCCCGTCTAGGCCCGTGTGTCCCCGTCCTGCGCTTGTATGCGCGCACGGCATGTTGTCTAGTTCCAGGCTCTGTGTTTGTTTGGTGAGATGGGGTGGGGAGGTGGGTAGGGGAGAGTGTCACCTGTCGGTGTTCCTATGCCCGGGTTAGGAGATTCTCCCTCCGCACCCCATGTGGGTGTGGGGGTGTGTCCTGATCAGGGTACGTGTGTACCTGTGTACGTGCCTGCGTGTGTCGGCATGGTGGGACTGTTTATCAGTGTAGTGTTTGTGTCTGCACCCGATCCATGTCTGGGTCCGGATATTGGTGCAATTTCGACCTGGGCTCCCACCCCTCGGTGTCGGAAGGCCAGCGTGCTGAGTGTGCCCAGCCTCTGAAGAAGTAAATGCCTCCATGCCCTGTCCCCACCCCACCCCCAAGCTGACCAGAGCTCCCTAGGGTGCGGCCTGGTTGGGGAGGGCCTGGGATTTGCGTCCTGGCAGAGAAAAGATGCGGGGGCGGGCCAGGTCCCCGGGCGGGGCGCGGGCTCCGGAGACCCGCACGGCTGACGTCAGGCAACTCCTTAAATAGAGCCGGCAGCGCGCTCAGCTCGGCATTTCCCGAGGATCCGGAACGTGGTCCGCGCCAGCGCCACCTTGCGGCCCGCCGCCAGCCCTCACTGCCGCGCGTCCGCCCGGGTTCGGAAATGGGGCTTCTGGAGCTCGGTGCGCTCCGAACCCAGCGCGTGGAAGAGTCAAGAAGCGCCTGAAGCTGCCCCACCGCCTGGAGCCCAGTCGTCTAGGACAGGGCAATGTTGGAGGCACTGCTGCCTGTCCCCCGAGGAGCCACCGCCCCCTGGCCCTCCGGGCATGGTGCGCGCCCCGGCCGGCAGCTCCTGGAAAAGACTGCGCCCCCCACGGCCGACCCGCGTGGCCCGGGCAGCCCTGCTCGAGCCCTTTAGGTGGCCACAGGGCCCCAGGAGCTCCGCCGCCGGCTCCCCCTCAGAAACCATGTCCCCCGGCGCGGGCCCATGGAGCCATGGCCTATAGGGTCCTGGGCCGCGCGGGGCCACCTCAGCCGCGGAGGGCGCGCAGGCTGCTTTTCGCCTTTACTCTGTCGCTCTCCTGCACTTACCTGTGTTACAATCTCCTGTGCTGCTGCGACCACGACCTCGGTCGGAGTCGCCTCCTGGGCGCGCCCCGCTGCCTCCGCGGCTCTAGCTCGGACAGCCAGAAACTTCTCCAGAAGTCCCGCCCCTGCGATCCCCCGGGGCCGACGCTGAGCGCACCTGCTGCCGCCGTGCCCGCCCCGCGCCTCCCGGCTTCCAATCTCTCCGGTTCGCCGAGGCTGGGCACCAAGCGGCTGCCCCAGGCCCTCATTGTGGGCGTGAAGAAGGGAGGCACGCGCGCCGTGCTGGAGTTTATTCGCGTGCACCCGGACGTGAGGGCCTTGGGCACGGAGCCCCACTTCTTCGATAGGAACTACGGACGCGGGCTGGACTGGTACAGGTAAGGAGGGGAGCCCCACGCCGTGCCCTTTCCAAACCGGCTCCATTCTCAGAGCCTCCCTCCGTTTTTTCTTCCCCTTTACCCGGCTCGTTGTGTAGGTTCCGGCTGAATTGGGGGCGGGGGGTTACTAGCGGATGGATTTACGCAGAACTTACCTTCCCGCCCCCTCCGGACACGCGTTTTCTTGACTGGCAAAGGGCCATTATCACTGGAGTCACTTGGAGAGAAGGGAGGGCTGTAGCCAAACCTCAGAGTGAGCCAAGGAGGCTGACTCCGGATCCAGGCTTTGGTGGAGCAAGGTGCCCAGGGAAGGATCAGGAAGAATACAGGCTCCCTACGCACAGCCCTCTCCCGACTGTCCCCCGGTCTTTTCTGCCATCTGAAGGATCCTGAGAAGGATGGAAAGTTAGAACAGGACGACGACCCCCTTGCGACAGTGCTGTGTGCTTGGGCAATGTCGCCGTAGGTCAGGCCGAATGAGAAGGCATCCACGGAGGTGACAGGATGAGAAAGTTCTCTATAGGCTCATTTCCAGCTCCAGGTATTTGCTATTGTAACTGGGCTGAAACCCTATGTCTTTGACCCTGAGTTAGTGGTCTTAGAGTAGTGAAAGGAAGCCTGGATTTGAGGCTTGGTTCTGTCACTTAACTTGAGCAAATTCCTAAAACTCTTTGAGCCTCGGTTTTTAAATCACATTGGACAGGGAAGCAGTCCCAGCCCTGTCTGCCTCCCTAGTCCTTTCTAAAGTGCATTAAAAGTACAATACTGGGTGATGCTTCTAGACCAGCCACCAGGATGGGGATCTTGGGATACTGGTGGGCACTCAGATGAAGATTGGCCAGAGTCATAGGGGTAGCCAATCATATGTAGACTGTCCACTCCCCGACTGCACTGCTGGGGGATGAGAGTAACCCAGGCTGGTGGTGTCTGGGCATGGCCTGAAGCACTGGCAGCCCCCGCTGTTCAATGTCCATTTACCTCCCAAGCTCTAGCTGGGCTGATCATGGCATCCTGGAAGGTGATTAATGCATAGGCTCCTCATAACACATGGTTCACAGAATTCTCACCATTCCCCTGACCCTGTGAAGACTTTCTAGAAATGTCTGCATAGTAATGGAACTGGGGAGGGGTAGATAACATGGTAGCTGCACAGTAGCTGAGGCTAATTTAAACTTTTTTAAAATAAATTTAAAAAAAAACTTTTTAAAAGTAAGCCGTTTAGGAAGTAGAAAGAACTAAGTACATTGGCCAAAGGACACTTCATTGGGGGGACCCCACTGGGCTCATGATAGGGGGCCCTGGATTTGCAAGAATGGAGGCAACAGGGTTGGTGTCACCTTTGCCAGTTAGCCTTCAGTGGTCATGGTTGTGGGGGGCAAGGGGTGGGGCATGCACCTTCCTCAGGAGGTAGACAGAGTCTGTCTCCAGTGGAGCCCAGCTGGGAGAGCTGGCTTTATGGGTGGCCCCAGAACCATTATGTTGGCTCAGTGGAATAAGGTGGCTCAGAATGGCAGGTCTAGTGCCTTCTAAGCTGGCATCACATCTGGGCCTATGAGGTGAGCAAGGACAAAGTCCCCAGGGTGGGGGAAGCCAGTGCGTCAAACAGCAGAACCCTCGATGTATCAGCTATGGTCATACTCTAATACACAGCAGGTTTCCTTGAGGGAAGGTCTGGAGATCAATATGAAACCCTTTGCCAATGTGAAGTGCTTTTCATGTGCAAAATAACAAAATTCTGAGCATCCTGCTGTTGGATTTTGTACCCTCCAATAAACACCTGTACCCTGAATAGTCTCTGCATTCCCCTCTCCCCGTTCCACCACAAGCACCATATCTCAGGCTTCCTTCCCAGAGCCCATGTCATTCAGGGATGGCTGCTTCTTATTTTTAACCTTGGCATGTGTGATTCTAAGCCAGCTTAGCTGTGAACCTTAGAGATGGGAGCTGTGCCTTTTTTTTTTTTTTTTATAGCACATTTGGATTCTGCTAAAATTCTCAGCTGAGTCTTGGTAGGTTTTATTTAACATCAAGCATACTGACAGCTCCGCTTCTCAGGGTCTGACTTACCCTCCCTTTCGCCCTTCGTATTTCTAAAGGAACAATTAGCTCAGGGGTCTGGTTGTGCATTTCCATCTATGGTAAGGTAATACTTCCCCATTTGAATTCTGTTTCCATAATTTCCAGAACCTTTCTCTTGTGTGTGTTTTATCTTTGATTATCACTCTGTAGTGGGACCCTACCCTTAGGTATTTTGTAAGAATCTGTCATGGAGAAGCTTCCCTCACCTCTCCATCTTGCCTGATTCCCTGCTCCCAATTTCCTCCCCACGGTAGCAGCTGGGCTTGCTTGCAGGGTGGGGTCAGCTAGCTGCTTGGCCAGGTAGGCAGAGTGAGACCATGGTGACCAAAGAACCAGCATAGGACCTGCCAGAAGCTGGAGGTGGTCACATGGATGCGGTGTGATTTGAAGTACAGTGGTCTTTCTGAATCTCAGTGTCCTTGGCATAGAAGGGCCCCTGCAGTAACTATCATAGGAGGTTGTTTTGGAGAATGAATGAAATGCTATATGGAAGTGCCTGAAACTTCTATGGTAGCTGAAGATAAGGCAGTAACATGATTACTGTTGCCACTGTTATCCTTACCATTTCACTGCCAACACCCCTGTTATGACTATCAGTACTATTAATATCAAAACGATTAGTTTCTGGCCCCACTGCTGTCACCAGATGGGACTGAGGAGTTAATTAATTTCTAGAAAAGTAGTTCCATGAGACAAGGAAGGGTCCTGGCCTTAAATTCTCCTTTCAGCTCTGCTCCGATTTTATTTTCATTTTTGCTCCCTCCCCATTGATAAAAAGTCACTTCACAGTTCGGGTTTGTAAGTTTGCTCACCTTTAAAATGGGAATGATGCCTGACCTGCTTTACAATCTTGTAAAAATCAATTAAGACAATGTATGTGAGAATGCTTCCCCCGATCTAAGATTAAATTTAGGGTGCTATCATCCACCAAGGGTTGGGAGTGAGACAGAATATTCAGGGTCTTCATCTTTTATAAAGAGATATAAGCTGTACCTTGTCTGATAGTTTTTAGAGTCTTGGGTGAAGCTGAGTTTTGTGTAAAATGTTCCCTGTTTTGCTAGTTTTCAGCAATGGGTAGGGGGCATGGGAGCATTGTGAAGAGGAAGTGAATCTTCTTTAAATGCACTGAAATGCCAACAAGAGCAAGTTAATGCATGACAACAGACTCTGTGCTCTGGTGTCAGTGTTTTGATAGATGAGTCCATTCTGTAAATTTTGGACTCCACGCCACTGCTCATTTATTTATTTATTGTGGATGGTGTTCTGGGGATAGTGTAAGACAAAGAAGACACTGTGTTTGCCCCAGAGGCAACTGTCTAAATAAGAAAGAATAAAAAACACAGAGTAAGGTCTATCACCGTATCCAGATAATTTCAGTCAAGAAATCAATCCTTCAGAAGAAACTTTCAGATGAAATAAAACCACAGGCAGAGGGGAGGGAAGCAGTTCCTGCAGGAGGCTTGAACCGTCTTTAACAAGGGGTCAATATGTGACACACCCTGATCTGTGCTTGTTGAGTGCACACAGAAGCCTGCATGTGCACACTTGCACACAGCTCACTCTCTGTGCAGACTTGTCTTCATAAGGAGTTTCCTGCCTCAGTCGAGGACATCATGTGCTGATTAAATGCAACCATTGAGTCCATAAATCCCCATTTGCCTTGCAGCTTTCTCTCAGCCTGGAGTACTCTGGAGATAACACTAGTTCCTGCACACGTGTAGTTCTTGTCAGGCACTGAAGAACACTCAGAATTGACCAGCAGACCTCTCTTTTTGAAGAGCTGGCTTTACTCCCCGTGGAGCTTTGAGGAACAGTGGAAGAGCTTGCAGTGAAAAAATTTTAAAACGAATGGGCTTTCCCTTAGGTTAAAAATGTGAAAATATCACTTACCATAGATTTTAAGGAGCATATTTTCCTCCACATTGTAATATCTCTGAAAGTAGGATGTATCTGATTACGGATGGGGTCTTAGCTTCAATGAGATACAATGCATCCATATTGGATGGAAATCTCCTCCCCAGAGGTTACTGTGCTGGAGACCCACTGGACTGGTGGTGAATGCCTGACTCAGTGGGAGCCCTCACACCCTGCTTGTCTCTGCAACCAGCAGCCTCTCTTATGGTCAAGGAGCTATACCTGTTTTTGGTGTTTGATTGTCAGAAATGCCATCTCCCTGAAAGCATCTGTCCTGAAATGAGGAAATGTGTGGGCTGACACCCACCAGCAGATAAAGTACTATGGTGGGCATGTTCTTCATGGGCTGCTGGACCTCCCAGCTATCTGGAGGCACATCCTGGGTCCCTAATAGGTTCTGGGCAGAGCCGGTGCCCAACAGGTGCTATTTACCTGCATGCTTGCTGATGCTCCATGCACAGGCATGCAGGACTGTAGAATGACTTCCTTCTGTTTGGTTAGATGCCGCAAATCATTCCTGAATGGTTGCATAACAGAGTGGGTGGAAAGGGGTGGAAGTACACACCCCTCTGTTCATCAGGGTCCCCTGGAGGACCTGGAGGGAGGCTGCCTGGATGACTGAGGGCTCAGCCACAGGGGCAGGGGGGTAGGTAAGCCCTTGCACTGAGTCCTACTATAGGGTCTAAAAGGTCACACAGTCAGCCTACCTCTGTGGGACTCACTGTCTTCCAGAGCTAGCCCCTGCGCATTAATCCATTTATTTGTCACATGCCTACCATTGCCAGGCTCAGCACCAAGCTGCTCGGGGCCCTCTCTGCTGTTGCTTTGTCCTCCTGATGGGTTGTGCTGATGGGCTCAAGTGCTTTGTAGTCCATGGGCAGCTTGACAAGGTCAGTAAAAGCCAACAGTGAGTGGAAATAACTTAGCATTTCAGAGGTAATTGCTGCCTGTCAAATGACACAGCTGGGCTGTTCATCCAGGGCGACAGTCCCAGGGACTTTCTCCGC